TCACGTATGACGTAATTTTCTTTCGTATCCTTTTCGATTCGTGAACGCATGTAACGATTCAGGCTTAGGGCCTTCTTCATCTGCTCTTTACATTGCATAACATGTCGTATTTTTCCTATGCTACCGTCAATGCGATAATAAGAATCAAAAATTTTGATAGACATATTATTGTATTATATTATATAATGTCAGAATTGGGAAAGACCTCTTCGAGCTGTTCGCCACCAAACAGGGCTTCCGACAGGGCGACTCTCTTTCATGTGACTGCTTCAATCTGATGTTGGAGAAGATAATAAGGGCTGCATAACTGAACCGCTCAGGAAGAATTTACTACAAGAGCGTGCAATTGCTGGCTTATGCCGATGACATCGATATCATCGGTATCAAAAACCGCGAAGTTTGTTCTGCCTTTTCCAAGTTGGATAAGGAAGCAAAGCTAATGGGTCTGGTGGTAAACGAGGACAAGACGAAGTATCTCCTGTCATCAAACAAACAGTCAGCACATTCGCGCCTTGGCACCCACGTCACTGTTGACAGTTATAATTTCGAGAAAGTAGAGCATTTCGTTTACTTGGGAACCAGCCTTAACACCGAAAATAATGTCAGCATGGAAATCCAACGCAGAATCATTCTTGGCAACAAGTGCTACTTTGGACTGAGTAGGCAATTTAGGAGTAAAGTCCTCTCTCGACGTACGAAAACCACATTCTTTAAGTCAAAAGAAAAATACGCCGTAGTAATTAAAAAATTTTAAAATTACATTTCTCGACTGAAAAATGAGATATTCGAGCTAACTCGACGGTACCCAGTGTGCTGTTTTAAGACTTCATGACAATTAATCGTCGCGCTTTCGACAAAAGCAATATTTTGATATGAAACAAAATGCCTTTAAAAGCTAATGTAATTGCCTTTCAAGAAAAAATATTATTATTGAGTCACAATCACTCCTTGATCTTAAAAAAATTGGGCACAAAATGTTATCCTTCGAAAAAAAAACCTGCAAAATTAAACGGATATATTAAAAAAAAAAAAATTTTGTGTTTTTTTATACTAATATTATAGATTTTGAGACGAGCAACAAGATTTCACTGTTCAAAATTCGAAAATTTGATCACCTTAATTTAAAAATGCATTATTTATTGCATTTTTTTTATTTGCATGCAGCTGGATGCACATTCAATTTTATATCCCTTTAACAATAAAAGCAATTCAAGACCTTTAATTTAAGTCTCTAGGCCCTTTCAGAGCTAAATTATTACGACTCTGAAGTTAAACTTCGTAATTTCATTCGAAATTTTATGCAATTTTTTTTCTAATTTCGGAGTAAAAACTATTACAGCAGTTTCGAAGTTTGATTTAAAATTGTTATAACTTGACTCTCAGAGCGCCTACAGTCTCAAATTAAAGGTCTTGAATTGCACTTGAGTGAAATTGAGTGAAGAATGCACTGATGCATGCAAATAGGAAAATGCAATAAATAATGCATTTTTTAAATTAAGGTGTTAAAATTTGTTTTCGAATTTTGAATAGTGGAATCGTTTTGTCCGTCTCAAAATCTATAATACTATTATAATAAAAAATACATAAATTTTTTGTTTTGGAGTAAATCCCGTGGATTTTACATGTTTTTTTCGAAGAACACTGCTTTGGACCAATTGTTTTAAGGTCAAGGGGTAATTGTGGCTTAATGGCCACAATTGAAAGGCATTTACTTTAGCTCAAATTCACTACGCTACAATATTTGCAGCCACAACCTACCACAAATCTATCCTACGTTGTAAATATGTATGAACATACGATGTACATACATATGGGTAGAATATTCGCAGCGCACATACACATACACACACCAGCATGCGCTAAAAATAGAATACGCAAAAGCAAAGCACAAGCAG